AGCCTTCTATGTACAAGATGTAGGGTGCACGAATTGTGAACCTTCTATTCAAATATACCGCAAAATAAATTATCAGCAGAAGTTTATTCCAAGATATCTAAATATATATATATATATAAATATATATTATTTATTTTTATACAACGAATTTCGCAAACATTAATATTATTTTCAAAGGTCGTTACAGGCTAAGCATGCACCAAATGTAGGGTGTATTTCGAAATTTTTATTAAAAATCAATATTTATCCCCAAAGGATATACAAAAATATTTTTTATATTATTTGTCTGAAAAATTGCAATTTCTACCAGACGGACCCACTGTGCAGTGGTGAAAAACGAATACCGCACAAAAGGGAATAAAACACAAGCAGTGCTTGTGGAGCGAACAAATCAGTGGAGGGGTTAGTTAACACACTACAAGCAGATCACTGACAATGGTTATTAAGAATATCGCACAAAACGGAATAAAACACAAGCAGTGCTTGTGGAGCGAACAAATCAGTGGAGAGGGTTAGTTAACACACTACAAGCAGATCACTGTCAGTGGTTATTAAGAATATCGCACAAAACGGAATAAAACACAAGCAGTGCTTGTGGAGCGAACGAATCAGTGGAGGGGTTAGCTACCACACAACAAACAGACCACTGAGAATGAAGCAACAGTGATTGCAGGGAGAGTAAATTAATTGTTGGTATGTTTGTATATTAATAGACCGACGCTAAAAAAAGGCGCGTGAAATATCAGAGAATTATTATTGTTGCGAACACACTAATACAACGACCAAGAACCAACAATAAGAGGTGGGGAGATAAAGAAAATGTGATTTGTATGATTGGATAGAAAATTAGAATATTTATGTATTAGTGTTGAGTGTATCAGAATAGAAAAAAAATACTTCTCAACAGAGCAAACAAAGAGTTTGAAAAATATGGGAGAAATTAAAGCACTCTATGACGGCAAAGTAGTTTATTAAATAATTTAAATTTGTGATAGGTGTTATCGAAAGAAAAACACAATATTCTGGTTAATAATAACTATTATTTTGCAACAAATGAGAAATGTGGTGATGAACGTTTATTAAAAAATTTTGCTTCACTTTTTGAGCGATGATTAGGGAAAAATGGACTGTATTTTATACGATGCCGTGAAATAGGGTGTAGATAAAGCGACCAGTACCGCGACACGAATTTAAACAACACTTTTTTCACTTTGATTTTTTTTTTTTTTTTTTGTTATAAGTAAAGCTCACAATTATAATTAATTACTTCTTTTTTATGATGATGATGATGGTGATGATGTGTATGATGGTGAGGTGAGGGATATGCGGGTGAATGTGTTGCTGGAGATTCCTTGTGAAAAAGAAAAAAGACAGCAATTAAAACCAGCCAAACTTCTCAAACGACTCGAATCCGGCTCGATGCGACCAAATGTTTAGGCGCAAGGGGTTGTGGGGAGGAGAAAAGAATCAAATAAAAACACAACAGTAATTAGATTTTAAATTCAAATTAGTTTGGTGGTTTATTGAGTTATTCTTTCTTATTATAACAAGCAAAATTACCTTGTGTAATTTGGGGTGGCGCAGAGACCTTTGTGTGTACCTTTCAACTACTGGTCGACAAGTGAACGCTGAGGTTCTTGCAATCGCAGAGGATCGCAGTGATCGCCGAGGATCATTGTCGATTATTACTACTACATATACAAATATTTCCAATGAGAGCAGAGTCTCTTATGTATCAAAGCGAGCTAACCAACAACAACCACCGCCCGGTGGCATCTGCGCTCTACGGTCTCCGCCGAGGGAAGTATGCCGAGGAGATGCCCGCTGTGTCAATCAGCATCCGTGATTGACTGGACTCGGGAAGTTGAAGGCCAACTTAAACAGAGGGTATATATCATTTGATACGACCAAAACGTGCCGAATCGAAATAACGACTAAAGACCTTAGGTCTCTTTGGACCAAATCCTTTTCAGGGCATTTGCAGCCGATCTAGTTATGTCCGTCCATCTGACTGGCTGAGGCTCACGATTACTCTCGAATAAAGTATCCGATCCGATTCGATATTACTTTTACTTATATTATTGTCAAACTCAAATCCGCTTCGGAGAGGGACAATATCGGCCCACTTCTTCTAGTACCTCTCCTAAAATGGTCAAAGCTTAACAGAAAATACATAAATCTTCGTTATAGAAAAGGATAGGATAATAGAACTTTGTGGAAACTTTGCAAATTCCAATATTTCGTTATGAAAATGGACAATATCGGCTGACTCCATCAAGTACCTCCCCCACAAAGGGTAAACTTTTAGAATAATTATAGGTTAGGTTAGGTTGAAAAAGAGGGGCAAAAACAATTTCGCCTCAAGCCCTTTTGGGCATGCACTTAAGCCAGTATAGGCCTGTTGTGCGCTCTAGTCAGAGGGGTTTTACCGAGGAAGACGTGCAGTTAAACAGTCTGTTATCATTGAAATTCTGTTGCCTTTATGAAATTCTTTAACTGTTTTATATCATTTACCATGATCTGGTATAGTGTCGCTCCCTAAGAATTGGGCTCTGATATTAGCAAACGCTGGGCATATACAGAGAAAATGTTCCAAAGTTTCGTCGTCTTCCCTGCACGCCCTGCATATGCTGTTATCTGTGCAACCTATCTTGTATAGATGAGCTTGTAGGCCCAGGTGCCCAGTAAGGATGACTGTCACCTCACTGATCTCCTTCTTGCTTAGCAATAATATAATAATTATAACTCTTATAAACTGAGAAATAACAGTCCAATTGTCTTCAAATTTTACACATCCGAACATTTTTATTAACACAAGATATGGAGTGTAGGTGGGATGTATCGGTCTGCACCTTATGGTATCTCCCCCACAATAGGTCAACATTTTAATAGACATGTATTTCGTAAAAAACGAACTGAGCAATCGATTCCTTTCAAACTTCGTACATCTCAATATTTCTATCAAAAGAAGAGAAAACATGAAGATGTAATATGTCAGACCACTTTTTCTGGTACCTCCTCCACAAAGGGTCAAAATTTTGAATAATCACAGGGTGGGAAGAAAAAACTGCAACCAACTTCATACTGCTGTCATTTCTAAGCCAGCCGACAGCTGTTAAAATTATTTCAGTGACAGCTTTTTATATTGTTTACAAGCGTACAAAAGCGTTTTGGTGAGAATTTTCCAGGAAAAAAGTCATTCGCGATGGAATTCGAGCGTGATAGTGTGATTTCTTTATATTTAGCTGGAAAATCACAAGTGGCTATCGTTGAAGCACTAGAGCATTTAAATTTGAATAAATCATTCTCCAATATTCTATCCGGCAAATATTGAAAAATGATCTCGGAGTAAAGCCATTAAAATTCCAGAAAGTGAAAGAACTCCCACCGCAACAGAAAGAAAATATATTCAAAAGAGCTAAAGAGTTGCTTCGCTTTCCCGAAAGTGGTGAACTGCCGAATTTGGTTTTCTCCGATGAGAAAAAATATTCATTGTCCAGCAGTTTGTAAACAAAGGCAAACAAAATGATCGTGTTTACTTGCCAAAGAGGTCAGCTGAAAATATGCACCTGCGGTTGGCCACCAGAACTCAAGCGCAGGCCATGGTGATGATGTAGCCGCCATAGCAGCCGATGGTCGCTCTCTGCTTGTATTAATCGATCGAAGCATCAGAATGAATGCCGAATATTATTGCGAAAATATTCTGGAGGGTGAATTAAAGCCTTGGCCGCAGAACTTGGACATTCCCACAGGACTCAGCGCCACCCAAGAATGCTTACAAAATGAGGTTCCTCGCTTCATTTCCAGCGCACAATGGCCACCAAAATCTCCGGATACCAATCCGTTGGACTATTGTGTCTGGAGTATTTTGGACAGCAAGGTTGACACAAAAAAATACCAAAGTAGCGATCACCTCAAGCAAGCGTTTCGCCTGGAATATACCAAAATACCGCAGAGCAACATTCGCGCAGCGTGTGACGGTTTCATTGGCTGTTTGAAGGCAATAATTCGTGCCAAAGGGCACCAATTCGAACAAATCTAAACTTATTCTATAATTTGAGGCTATTTCCGACATTTTTATTAAAAAAAATAAAAATTATGGTGTTTTACTTTGTTGCAGTTTTTTATCTCACCCGGTAGTGGTCCACTCCTTCGATATCGCCTCCATTTCGTAAGTAAATATATACTTTAATAAACTGACATAGGCTGAGGGTATACATCTGTCTGAAAGGGTCATCCATGCATGAAAAAATACACTAAAGCAGAATGTGTCGGAGATTTTGAAATGATATGTTTAATGCAACTCACCTTTTGCGAGCTCTTTATAAATATTGCATATCCGCCTCTTCATTAGTCTTTTGAAAATAACCCAAATTTGATTCATTTCAAATTTCTAGTGTTTTTCCAATTTAAATACTCTCCCGTCTAAATTGCCATTATCCCGAAAAATCTCCATGTTATTCCCGTATAATTACTCTTTGCCAAAATCCAATATCATCAGTAAATTGAAATAACTATGTACACTGAAAATTGGTTTTTAACAAATATTTACTCGTATTATTTGTTGTTTTTTCTCTTCTTTTCCCCCTTCTCCGCCCTATAACAAATTCTATTGCAGAATAACGATATGTTTTACATGCAATTACGGCAACAATCGGAAAAATTCAATGACATTTTTAACAAAGCGCCAAGTGGCCCAACAAAGCAGCAACAACAACAACAACGACAACAGCAACAGCAATCGAGTCAAAAGCGAAAATACAAAAAACATGTTTCGCTAGCCAGTTACGGTGGCAATAGCCGTGGTAGCGCCAGTCATGCCAATGCAAACAAAGCAACCGCAAAAAGTGTTACAAAGCAAACAAACGGCAGCAGTGGCAGAAGCAGCAGCCACACCAGTAATGATGGTCATAGTCAGCACCTGTCAGCGGCAGATGTAACCGCAGCCAGAACAAGGCAGGCTACAAAGGATGTAACATCCTCATCGTCGTCGTCGTCAGCGTCATCATCGGCCTCATTCATGTTGGGCAAAACAATTGTTTCACGCTATGCTCCCCAGACCTATGATGCCGTTTGGGCCATTGCATTGTCGCTGCGTGCCGCCGAGGACCGTTGGCGCAAGGATCCAATGCAACAATCCAAATTGGATCGTTTCGATTACACACGCAGTGATATGGCAACAGAATTTCTCCAACAAATGGGCAAATTGGATTTTCTGGGTGTGTCGGTAAGTGTCATGAAATTTTGTAATTGCAATAACGAAACAACGAGCTGAATGTTGGGGAAAACAACATTAACAAAATATAATTAGCATCTTTGAGGGAAAATTATAACGAAAATGAGTAAATAACATCTGATAAAAAAACATATAAAAATTTAAAATACACAATTTGGTTCTCGAAAAAAAAAAACTTAAAAATTTGGAATTCCTTGGTTTTGGAAAAATTCCATAAATCCCCAATTGGTCCTTGGAATCTACCGTTTGATCTTTGACAAAAATTTAAACAAAATCACCAACACTTTTCCGTTTTGCCCTTAAAATAAAGTTTAAACCAGTAAAGAAAGTCCTAAAGTCGGGCGGTGCCGATTTTATGATACCCTACACCACTCGCTAATTTAGTTGAGCTCCACATAACAATAAAAAGTTTTTATGGGAGAATTCAATCATATAGCCTACGATTATAATTATAATTTAAAATTCAAAGGACGAAGCATTTGTATCTTTTAAATTCGGACTTGTATTGCAAATTTGGTGCAAAATTAATTTGAAATCAGATAAAGATATATATGGGAGCTATATCCAAATCTGAACCGATCTCCATAAAATTTGGCAAAGATATTTCTGAGCTGTATTTGATATATTTCCCTGAATAACGTTGTTACGGAGTGCATATTACGGCTGTGGGTAACAAATACAACAAATCGGATGAACAGTATATATGGGAGCTTTAGCTATATATATTGGTGCAGAATAAAAGGTAAATCTAACGAAGTTTTATATGGGTGCTATATCCAAATCTGAACCGATCTGTATAAAATTTAGCAAAGGTATTTCTGAGCTGCATTTGATATATTTCCCCAAATATTGTTGTTACAGAGTGCATATTACGGCTGCGGAGGACAAAAATAACAAATTGGATGAACAATATATATGGGAGCTATAGTTATATCTGAACCGATTTCGATCAAATTTGGCATACTTATTTTCAGGCCTAATTTGGTTGTATGTGCACAATTACGTTTGGTGCACAATAAAAGGCAAATCGGACGAAGATATTATGTGGGAGTTATATCTAAATATTTCCGATTATCTCCAATTTCAATAGGGTTCGTCCTTGGGCCAAACAAATGTTCTTTGGAAAATTTCATCTCAATCGGATAATAAATGCGACCTGAATTTTGTTCACAAGAATACATGGACAGACGGACTGACATGCATAAATCAACTCAGAAAGTGATTCTATGCAGATCATCAAAAGGAACTATGGGTCTTTCTCGTTTCCTTTTGCCTGTTACAAACAAATGCACAAAGACATAATACCCTGACCACTTTGTGGTGTGGAGATTGTGTAGAAATATAGGACTTTTTCGCATACAAGTTATGAACTATTATTCGATAGTCATTCAAAATGGTAGGCTTCTGCGTAGTCCTAAATTCTAACCTCAAATTCTGAGTCGAATGGGCTTTAAGTATATCCTCAACCATTGGCCCACTCCATTAGTACCTCCCTTCCAAAAAGTAATAATTTTGAATAATTTTATATATCAAAAATAAGCACTCGATTCTCTTAAAACGGTCCACTCCTCTTGGTAGCCCCCTTATAACGAGACAAAATGTTGAGTAATTCTATCTCTCGTAAAATGCGAAAATAACATCTGATTCAATTTAAACTTCGCATATTCCAATATTTCTATTAACACAAGATCTGGTGTGGAATGATAGATACCGGCCCACCTCTTCTGGTATCTCCCCCACAGAGGGTCACAATTGTCAGTATTTATATATCTCATAACTTTCGAAACAAGTCAGCCAATATTTCAAGGTGTTACAAATTATATATTTTTATAATTAATAAAAATCGGATAGTTGTTTCGCAAAAAAAAAACAAATAATAATAAAAGGATCTGGGTTCTGACAAAGAAATCAAAATATCCACTATTTTTTCCTTGAAAAGTGCTTACAAAATCTTCAGTTAGATACTTGAAAAAAAAAATGATTACGAATTTTAAAAAATTTAGATCTGAACCCTGGAAAAATATTTAAAAAACTAAAAAAAAATGTAAATAATCTTTAAAATTTTTAGGAAAAAATTAACTATTTTTAAGTTCTTAAAGTAAACCTTAAAAAATTCACCATTTCATAATTAATTTAAAATAAATTCAAAGCCCTGCTTAGAAATCCACAATTTAGTCCTTGATAAAAACATACATAACAGTCCGCAAGTTGGTCCGTGGAAAAGTAGTTAAATCCCCACAATTTAGTTCTTGAAAAAAAAAAAAAAAAAAAAACAATATAAAAATCCAGGATTTGATTGTTTAAAATTCTAAGATTTGGTGGTCGGAAAAATCTAGAAAAATAGTCATTAGGTCCAGGGGAAAATATTTACAAATCAAGAATATTTTTCCTCAGATGTCATAAAAAACCTTTTACACATTATTAAAAATCCATTATATTGACGCTTGAGAAAATATTTCTAAATCCAAAACTTGGTCCTTGAGAATATTTAGATATGCAGGATTTGGTCCCTGAAAAGAAACATGATTCTTAAAACATATTTAAAATCAATGATTTCGTCCTTAAAACATATAGAGAAATCGATTATTTTATTCTTAAAAAATATTAAAGTCCACAATGTTGTCCTTAAGAAAATATTTAACACTCCAATATTTCGTTCCTTAAAAAAATTTTTAAATAATTCGCAATTTGATACTTGAGAAAACATTATAAAAACAACATTTAGTTCTAAGGAAAGTATTCAAAAATCCAAAATTTTATCCTTGAGGATTTTTGAAAATCGACTTTATGGTTTTTGAATTGTGTTTGTTTGTTTTTTTTTTTTTTTTTTTAAATAAACGTTAAAAATCAACAATTGTTTTCATAAAAAAAACTCGATTTGGTCTTTTGAAAATTTCTGAAAAACTATGAATTGTTATTTAAAAAATTTGGATTTGGTCTAATATTTAGAAAATATGTATTTTTAGTCGAAATAAGTCGAAGAATAAACCTCTAAAGAAGTTTAACTCTACCTCCATTCGATAAATTTGTTAAAATCGTGAAAGAATATTAAAAAAACCACACAATTTATACTTGAGGAAAGTTTAAACCCACAATAACACGTTGAATTTATATTTATGAGACCACAAAATGAGTAATTATTAAAATGTGTTTTCAAGAACCATTAGCTTCGAAAATATGATTTCATAGAAATAATTTCGTTTTCTTTTACTTCAATATTTGATTTTTTTTTATTTTTTCAACAAACCGTAAATATGGAAGTTTTTAAAATTATAATTAATTTTTTAAGAACCCTTAAGCTATTTGGAAATGTAAAATATTTAGAAATAGTTTTTTAAATGACCCTTTGACTACAAATATTTTCCAACGACTCTTAGACCACAAAACCAAGAATTTTAAAACATATATTATATTGTCTAAGAGCTACAAACTGTGGAATTTCTTAAAAATATTGTTAATACTTTTCCAAGAATCTTAGACTATATAGAAGATAGCCATTGTTTAAAAAAAAAATCTTAGACTAATAAATCCAAAAATGTTAAAAATATTGTTTTTTGGAAGAATGTGCAATTTTTGAAAATTATATTTTCAAAAACTCTTGAGCTACAAAACTTTGAACATTAAAAAATTGTTTTCAAGAATTCTTAGACTTTAAAACATGAGTTTTAAGAAAGAAATCCACAATGTTTTTCTTGGAAAAATATTATTTGGGGGGAACACCATTGTCCGGTGTTAAAAAATTCTAGCATTTGATCACAAAAAATTAGTCTATGAAAACCCCACCAATCAATACTTGAGAAAGATTTTACAGTTTGGATGTTTAAAAATCAGTATATGGGGATTGAAAATTAAAGATTTGGTCGTTCGTACTGAAATCAAGAAAACAAGTTTTGGGCAAAAAGACAATTAAATATTTAAATAGTCCGAAAATGTAAAAACTCCACGATTTGGCCCTTAGGAAATAAAACTCCATGATTCTTATAAAAAGTCTTCAAGAAAATTTAATTTAAGCTTTGGAAAAAAATTTAAAAAAAATTTAATTTGATCCATGGAAATTCCACAATTTGTTCCATAAAAAATGAAAACTTCATAATTTGATCCTTTGAAAAATAATATTTGAAAAATCTAGGATTGATCCTTAAAAATCTTCAATAAAATAAAAATTTGATCCTTGGAAAATAATCGTCAAAAAATAGAATTTGGTCCTTGAAACAAAAAAAAAAAATAAAATTTATTCACAGTTTGGACATTAAAAGTTCAAGATTTGGTCATTCGTCATAAAATTAAAATAATTATTTGGTCCGTGAAACAAACTTAAAAATCATAGAATTTAAGCCGTGTTTTTTTTTCAAGATTCGCTGACCTTAAGGTGTGGTGTCCCAAATAAATTCAGATCTAAGGTTATATAGATCTTTGGACATTGATTTTTTTTAGAAATAGTTTTTGTTAAAAGACATAAGATTTTGATTTTTTCAAAATAATCCTCAATCAACCCAAGGACCGCAAGACGAGAAATTTTAATAATATTTTTCAATAATCTCTAGATTTTGAATTATTTAAATATTTTTTCAAAGATTTGTAGGATTTTTTAATATTTCTATCAAATATCCGTAGGATTTTTTAAATATTTTTGTAAAGGATTCTCGTACTACAAATCATGTAATTCTGGAGCACAAAAAAAAAAATGTTAAATTTTGAAAACAGATTTGTAGAGCACAAAATATGGAATTTTTATGAATTTGTCTTCGAGAACGTATACACCCTAAAACGTGAATTATTTAAGAACATTGTTTAAGGATACATATACCAAAAAAATCTAGTTGTGGTACATTTAATATCTTTCAATTTTAATACCATCTGATGTTTGTCCTTGTTATCAAAATTACATTTTATACCACTTAAGAAAATTTCACGAATTTTTTTGTTGATATTGTAAACGTGTCGTGTCTTAAATGCATTTTAATTAAAATATATTAAAATTACATTTTTCTTCCTCTTCCCCTCTCCCTCTTTCTATATTTTTTTCATTTCGTTACAGGGTCCCGTCTCGTTCAGTGGTCCCGATCGCATTGGCACCACGGCCTTCTATCAAATACAAAATGGCCAACTCGAACCCATTGCCTTGTACTATCCGGCCGAAAATGCCCTGGACTTTCGGTGTCCGCATTGCAAACGAGTTAAGTGGCATGGCGGCCAAGTGCCGATAGCTAAACGTGTCTTTAAGGTTCGTGTGGCGACGATAGCGCCAATGGCATTTTACACGATAGCCACACTGTCGTCGGTGGGCATTGCCATGGCATTGGCATTTTTGGCATTTAACCTGCATTTTAGAAAATTAAAGTAAGTACTTGGACGGTGATGAGAATGCGGCTTCTGCAGGTGGTATTGCTGCAGTGAGTGAGAAAAGGCCATCAAAGATGTATGAGTTGAAGGTAAAGACAAGGAGGAGGAGATGAAGTGATGGCGAAATTAAAACGGGACCAGGGGAAGGCTTGCTAAATGACCAAAGTGTTTATGTTGTTAATGCATTTTTGAAAAGCACACCCCCCCCCCCCCCTTCTCCTCCTTTGTAGCAAAACAAGGAACCAGGGTCATTTGCTCAGGTTTCCTTTTTCTTCTTGTTGTTTCTGGGTTTCCTGTTAAATACATGTTTGTATTGGTGGCCGCTCTTGAATAGACGAGTGCTGCTTAAAATAGATACGTTTGAGTGAATTTGCTCAAAGATTTGTTTAATTGGTTTACTCCTCTTTGTTGGCTTTTTGTCCACCGTTAACTGGATCTTCTCTATGGCATTCACCTCTTTTCATGTTACCTCTTTTTTTTCGATTTTTTTTCTCCTCATCTTTTTTTCTGCCTTTTTTTCCAGAGCCATTAAATTGTCAAGTCCTAAATTGAGCAACATAACTGCTGTGGGTTGTATTTTTGTTTATACTGCCGTCATTTTATTGGGTTTGGATTACTCAACTCTGCCATCGCCGGAGGACACTTTTGCTACGGTCTGTACGGTAAGTGAACTTGTTATTGGAATTGTGTTGTTGGTGTTCATCTTTAGCAGAAGAACAGTAATTTTTGTATTCCTTTCTTTTTTATATTCGTTTATATTGATGATGATTTTTACACACTTGCTGTTGCTGTTATTTTTGTTTTTATTTCTTTTTGCAAATTTGCATTTTATTTTACTTTCCCTTAATGTATTTTTAAAAAGTTCGAAGAAGAACATATCAATTGAATTTTAAAGGTCATTTAAAGCTGTACGTACGACATGTCCTGTTATTGCTGCAGATACAATTCAAAGAAATTGGAAACAGGGAAGCATAAAGTTAACACCGAACTGCACATTTTCGGATATTTTCCAATGAAATGTCCTTTCGGCGTGAGAACATCCTGCAATGTTTTTGCATGAAAATACATGACAATATTAAATTAAATTACAGGAAGACAGAGAACTGATGCTGAATTCTGCAAAGCATTTTATAGCAACTAACAACGAACAAAACCTGAAGTAATCCTTTTTTCCTTTCACAGAATTTTTATGGATACATCTTAAAGTCCTGGAAAATATATTCCTTAAAATGACACACTTTGTGGTTTAGGGATCCTGGAATAATCTTAAATATTGCAGGTTTTGTGTTTTTTAGACCACGAAACCTACAATATTTAAGATTACTCCACGATTCTTGAAAAATTCCTAAAAAAATTATGATTAAGGGACCGGGAAATAATTTTTTTTCAAAAATTGCATTAGTTTTTTTTCAATTTTTTACTTCTTACATATGATCACAAAATCTATAATTTAAGCAAATGATTTCAAAAGAAATTTAGAGATCCTTGAAAATTAATCTTTAATTTTTAAATTTTTTGTCGAAGTATCCTTAAAAAATTTTCTAAAAATTAAAAAAAAAAATAAAAATAGCCATTGAAAAACATTTTTAAAAATGTCCTGATTTTCAGGTCTAAAGATCCCTTGGAAAGTATTCTTATAAATTCGGCAATTTGTGCTCTTCGCGTCCTTGAAAGTTATACATTTATATATTATAGTCCTGAAAAAATGTACTAAAGAATTTCGTGACTTTCTGGTTTAAGGGCACTTGACAAAACATTTTAATTTGTCAAACATTTTGTGGTCTACGTGTTCGTAAAAGATCCACATTTTGTGGCCAAATAATACATGTAGAATTCTTAAAAATCCCACATTTTGAAGTTTTGAAGTGTTGAAGGTTAGTAAAACCTTTTGGATATTTTAAAATTTTTTTAAAGGGTGGGTATTTGAACCCTGATTCAGAGAAAGTATTTTTTCTCGGGGGACAGATACGAATACCCTGATATTTGACGGGGTAGACCCAAAAGTACCAACCTATACGGGCCGGACTAACGAAAATTCCTTTCCAACAAGGGAGTGTATTGGTGTTTTAAACCCAGAGTTTTTAAAGCTACTCTCAACAAGTCGAAAAATGTCTCCTTTTGGGAGTCCAAAAATATACACAAAATTATAGCATATACTTCAACCCTGCAACAAAGTCAAATGCCATAATTTTTACATTTTTTTAGTTTTAAGTTAAGTTAGCAAAAAATGTCGGAAATATCATCAAATTTTAGAATAAGTTTAGAGTTGTTGGAATTGCCACCTTTGGCACGAATTATGGCCTTCAAACGGATAATGAAACCATCACACGATGCCAGAATGTTGCTCTGCGGTATTTTAGTCCATTCCCAACGAAGCGCTTACTTGAAGTGATCGACACTTTGGTATTTTTTAGTGCCAACATTGCTTTCTGAAATACTCCATGCACAATAGTCCAACGGTTTGGTATCCGAAGATTTAAGTGACCATTGTGCGCTGGAAATTAAGCTATGAACCTCATTTTGTAACCATTCTTGAGTGGCACGTGACAAGTGCGATGATTCTGAGTCCTGTTGGATTACCTAAGGTTTGCGGCCAAAATGTTTGCGTACCCAAGGCTTTAATACACCCTCCAGAATATTTTCGCGATAATCATTTTATACCCCCCACCATACTATGGAGGGTATATTAATTTTGTCATTCCGTTTGTAACTCCTCGAAATACTCATGTCAGACCCAACAAAGTATATATATTCTTGATCGGCGTAAAATTCTAAGACGATTTAGCCATGTCCGTCTGTCTGTCCGTCTGTCTGTCTGTTGTAATCACTCTATCTTTCGAACAAATTGAGATAGAAGGCTTCAATTTTGCACACATGTATATTTTGCCAGTAGGCAGATTAAGTTCGTAAATGGGCCATGTAGGTCCAAGTTATCATATAGCCCCCATATAACGGTACCTCCCGATATTCGGTATTTTGATGATTTTAGCGACATTATTCACCGGATTTGTTTCGATTTTGGCATTTCAGGTTCGTAATGGATGCTACAGCCTAAGACAGAAAATTGTCTGTGCAGGTCCACGCCTTCGTATAGCCCCCATATAACAGTACCCCCCATATTCGGTATTTTGATGATTTTAGCTACGTTATAAACAGATTTTTCTTCAAGTTTCGCATTTAAATGTTGTAATAACTTATGACAAAAGCTGCCTATGCAAGCCCACGTCGTCGTATAAGCACTCGGTATTTTTAAGATTTTAACATAATTTTTAACGGATATTTTTTTTTTTTTTTTTTTTTTTTTTTTTTTTTTTTGGAAATTGTACCAAATGGTGGAGGGTATTAAAAGTTCGGCCCGGCCGAACTTACAGCTTTTTTTACTTGTTTCATCTCACCCTGTTTATTATAAATACCAAATGCTGGATTCTTAAAAGATTATATTCAAGGACCCAAAAGTAGACGTTTGAAGATATTTTATCAAAGACAAAATTATGGATATTTAAACCGATGGATTAAATCACGAATCAAATAAAAATAAAAAATAACATTTTAAAAATTTATAATTCATAAATTTTTCTGTAAGAACAAAATTATGACTTAAAGATTTTCTCTAAAACAATATTATTAATATTTAAAGGACTACATATTAAAATGTTCCAGATACTTCCCTAGGACTCAGGTATTTAAATTAAAAAAGGACTGCATCTTGAAACGTCCGAAAACTTAAGTGGTTATAATTAAAAAAATTTTTCAACCTCCAACATTAAACGATCTTTAAAAAATATGGTCGTACTTTTTAATTACAAAATTCAAATATTGTTTCCTTAAATAAAATTATGGAAATGTAATATTTTCAAGGGAACAAATTGTGGATTTAAATCTGAATTCGAAGAATGAATCATTGTTTATAAAATTCTCTATTTTTGAGGCATTAATGGTTGCTTTTACATAATATCTTCAAAGGCTAAATCATGGATATTCTAAAGCTTTTTAAGAGCAAAATAGTGGATTTAAGATATATTTTTGCAAATATAGTAGATCTTGGAACTTTAAAGTTTTTACCAAGAACAATATTTTTATTTTTTTTTTTTTTATGGACCAAAAGGACAAATTTTACTTTTTTAGAATAAAGGCCTGTTACATGTGTTGTACACTTCTCCAATTTCCTATTCTCGCTCTCATAGCTCTCATAAATTTCTCTCTGAAATAACTCACCCATTCCCGAATGATCCCGAAATAGATGGATTACGTGTTTTTAGAATGATTTTCGATGTTTCCCCAGTGAGACATAAATTTTTCATTCTTCGAGTTTATTTTTGGTTTTCCTTTTTATTTTCCATCCCCCTCTCCATCACCTCTTCCTGATTGTGATTTGCTCCAGTCTATGTGGCCGGGGCGGATAAATTGTAGCTAACCATCATTGAATGCCAACAAAATGTGTTGGCGTGCTTTTGAGGAAAAAAAAGGAATGAATTTTTAAGTGCCTGTGCGTGAGAATTTTTCAAGTTCTTTTTCTTCGTGGCGGCGATGTGTGCGTGTGTGTGTGTTCGTTGAAGTACACTCATGATTCTTGTTTACGTACTCGTACCCGCATTCGTCCATGGTGTCGTGAATGTTGTTTGCTTATCGAAAAGGTGAAACCTTAAACGAAAATTGATGATGTGATTTTTATTTCATTTTCATTGCTTGGCTACGAGATCTCATCTCCTTCTCCAATGTCTTGTTATTTGGGATTTTGTTTTCCTGTTTCCTGTCCTGACCTTGCCGGCATTCTCCTTCCCTCCCTCTCCCTCCCCTCTAAGTAGCCTTTGTTTGGTCAAACAATAAAAAACGAATTTTGGGACTTCGTCTCCTTCTTCGCATCCTTGTATGGAAAAATGTTTTGTTTGCATACACATGTATGTATTTATGTATATATGTGTGTGTATGCGTGCGGGCATCTTGTATTGTTTATTTTTCTCAATGACCCCGAAACCACAACACAAGTTTCAATGTTCTGGTCCTTTTGTCCAACAGGTCCTTTTCTTCTTATTTCTTTATTTGTAAGGCACTTAAGTGTAATTAATTCATTCATCCAGTCGTTCGTTCGTTCGTCGTTCGTTCATTCTTTCTCCCAGCCCTGTGGCCGGGCTTAATGATATTTTCGTATTATTCAAATACAAAGTAATAAATATGCTTCAATGGACCGGAATGGGAAATTGATTGCGAAATAATATGACCATGGAATTGTATAGAAATGGAAGTTTCAATGAACTTCATGTAAAACTTCTTGTTTTCTTCCTCTTTTCACAAATTTTGTATTTAGCAAAACTTATGTTTTGTTTTCGGTTGTCTGTAAGTGACATGTGGGCGGAGAAGCGGACATTGGAGGCAAAAATGACACAGGCATACAAAGTTTTAGTCACATGTACGTTGAAAATATTATACCTCCCTTCGGCGATATAGGCAATGTTTCATCCGATCTATTAGGATTCCAATCAGTGCACGACAAAAACTTCTAGTTCCTTCAGATATTTCCTCCACTCCAATGACATTATTTCTATATTTGTTTATACAGTAGTCTAGAAGATTCGGAGCATGGGTCCTTTATAGAAGGATTACAGACAACCAATGTATCCAAAAATATCCCAAAAAAAAATATTCCCCAAAAATGTATAAGACCTCGAAAAAATGGATCTCGAAATACCATGCATAACATCGATCTTCATGTTTCGAGGAGCTGAGTCAATCGAGCTATGTGTGTCTGCCACTATATGAACTGTACTTCAAAACTTCAAAACTTGTGGAGATATTGAATTGTTCTGCGAGAACGTGTTCAACGGGATAGAAACGAAGAAATTGAAGGAGCGCTTTATATGTGACGGTTTGAAATCCAGAAGTGTCCTATCCATTATTAGTAAAACCATTGAGCAATAAATTTCGGTATTCCAACTCTAAACATTCAATAAATACCAAATTTAGTAACATTAAGTACAATTTTAGAACTCATTTACCAAACCGATCCAGATCTTAATCCTAGACACAACAGTTATCGCAATATAACACTTCAGGGGTTCAGCTCTTTTTCTTCATCCAATACCAAATTTAGTACGATTTAGTACTTTTCGATCAATTGTGGTACACATTTCCAAAACGACCTTCATATCTTAATTCCAGATACCAACAGAGACCTCAGTATTAAATTGGAAATTCCTAGCCTTATCCCTTCATCAACAACAAATTCAGTACCATTTTGTATTTTTCGTACAAATATAGGATGTTTTTCCAAACCATCGCGAAATCGCAAACACCATTAGTAACTTAAATATCAAATTTCAGAATTTTATATATGTTCCTTTACCCAATACCAAATGGACCAATGTACCATTTAGTACTTTTCGTACAATTATAGTGAACATATCCGAAATTATCTCCATATGTCTAGATTTCAAGGACTATCTGTTCACAACTACTAAATTGTACCAAATATAGTACGTTTCGTGCACTTGTAGTATACATTTCCCAAAAACCACCTCTTTCTCACAAACCTACCACCAATAGGGACCCCAATGCAAAATCCAGCTTCATCCATTAACTGTTCCAAATATAGTACTATTTAGTACAGTTCGCACACAATTGTAGTAACCTTAAAGTTCGAATTTTCAAATACCCTTTGGTATATCTATGTTGCACTCTATCAATGAACCTCATTCCAAATTTCAGATTCTGCATCATTCCGTTTGTATGAATTTCCAAAAACCCAGCCTACGCACCAAGACTGACGCTAGTGCAAAATTTCAGGATTCCAGTTTCAGCCGTTCGTCTCGGCGTTGATTCTGGATCAGTCAGTCGGTTGTTCACTACTCTCTAATATATCATCTCGAGTACCCAATATTGCCCAAACGTGGTACAACATAATAGTTCTTTGCTCTTAAGACAGGCAAGAAAACTGGCATTATTAGCCCATACCTTCTCACTCATCTCCAATTAAATTTCAATATTTGGTTTTTCTAAGAATTTTTCTAAGCCAATGAACCGCTCGTTTTGGTTCCTACTCAAAAAATGAGGTGAAGTCAAAATGTATACAAATATTTCATAACAAGCAGAGGCGTAACCAATGTTGTTTAAACTTGGCACTACTCGTACCATCCCCTCAAAAAATGGATATGTTGAATATTAATAACGCCCATTAAATTTTGAGATCAGTGTTCGATTGTTTTGAAAATATTTCTTCAAATGTTCGCTAATATTTGCCAATCTCTTGGGAAGTCCGCATCGATCCCCTATAGGTATCTCTCTCTCTTTCTCTGTAGTATCCATTACGAACTTCAAATACCAAATTTGAAACAATTCCGGTAAATAATGTTGATAAAATCATCAAAATACCGAATATCGGGAGGTACCTTTTTATGGGTGCTATACGATGACGTGGACCTGCGCAGGACATTTACTGTTTTAGGCTGTAGTATGCTTTATGAACTTCAAATACCAAATTTGAAATAATTCCGGTGAATAATGTCGATAATATCAGCAAAATACCGAATACCGAAAGGTACCTTTTTATGGGTGCTATACGATGACGTGGACCTGCGTAGGACATTTACTGTTTTAGGCTGTAGTATGCTTTATGAACTTTAAATACCAAATTTGAAATAATTCCGGTGAATAATGTCGATAATATCAGCAAAATACCGAATATTGGGAGGTACCATTTTTTAAAGGTGCTATACAAAGACGTACACCAATTTTCTATCATAGGTTATAGTATCCATTACGAACTTCATATAGCAAATTCTAAACAATTGCGGTGAATAATGTCGCTAAAAACATTAAAATACGGAATATCGGAAGGCACCGTTAAATGAGGGCTATACGAGGGCGTCGACCTGCACAGACAATTTTCTGTAAAAGGCTGTAATATCCATTACGAACTTCAAATACCACATTTTAAACATTTTCGGTGAATAATGTAGCTTAAATCACCAAAATAGGATAGGAACGTGGACCTATATGGCCCACTTTCAATACCAAAAGTCCTGCAGACATAATATACATTTGAGTAAAATTTTATCAACCTACTTCAGTTAGTTCGGAAGCTAGAGTAATTTAAACAGACGGACAGACGGGCGGGCATCGACATTGAATTTTATGCTCATCAAGAATATATATACTTTGTGAGGTCTAAAATGTATATTTCGAGGTATTACCAACGGAATGACAAACTTCATACCCTTCATACTATGGTGGAGGGTATAAAAAATCCTGAGGCACATATGAGGCGAGAGGATTTATGTATTTTTTTTAAGTTCAGAAATTTTTAGTAGAAAACATTGGGCCTTTTTTCTCAAACCATGACTCATTCGAGCGAGCTTTGGCACATTAATATATATGTTTGCTTATGAATATATATGTCTGACTTTAACACGATACCAAGATCTCTTAAGAAGAGTTTTTTAAGGACTTCCTTGGCAAAGTTTTCGGAGTTCTTTACATTATTTCTTGCCAAGATTCGTTTATTTCATATTTCTTTATATGGATTTTTAAAAATAAATGTTGAAGGTATTTATAGGTCTTAATGGCCAAATTTTTAGAACTTCTTTTAAAATATAATGGATTTTTAAATAATATTTTTTAAGACTCCTGTAAAAAATCATTGATATTAAAAAATCACTTTTAAAGTACTACCATGAATTTCATACTATTTTAAAATGCCTATCTAAAAATACGAGAAATTTTTATTATTTAAAAAATCCGAAAAATGCTGACTTTTGTATATACCTTGATTAGAAAAACATTTATATTTATATAATTGGTCACATGATAAGGGCAATCCTACTGCCACTCCTTACCACCTTTATAATAAAGTCAATCACAATCTCTGTTTTCCCTTTAGAACTTAAGAATCCCCCACGAAATGCAAGATTAAATTACCCCTTAAAAACCGCCCATTTTTATCACGTAAAACATTAGGCTATTTGCCAATTGATTTCCCACACTTTGTGCGCACTTTTTATCACTTGATTTATTTTAAACTAATTTTCTCGTCTATTTTCTTCGTTCCTTACCTCCCCATAAAATGTTTTATTTATTAACTCATTCTTACCGTTTATTCTCCCCTTTGTATTTCTTTATTTTCAGGCTCGAGTTTATTTATTGTCGGCCGGTTTCTCGCTGGCATTCGGTTCGATGTTTGCCAAGACTTACCGCGTCCATCGCATCTTCACGCGCACCGGCAGTGTGTTCAAGGATAAAATGCTGCAGGATATTCAACTGATTCTGCTGGTGTGTGGCCTGTTGCTGGTCGATGGTCTGGTCGTTACGCTGTGGGTTGTCACCGATCCCATGGAACGGCATTTGCATAATTTAACACTGGAAATCAGCAACGTGGATCGAAGTGTTGTCTATCAGCCTCAGGTAAATATTTCAACAGCTACAAAAGCAGCCGACGAGTGAAGGACAGGAGGAGGAGTCAGGTGACTTTTACATCTTGTCGTATTTATTTAATATCAATAGCAGATTGTAGGTGTTTGCTAGTGATGGTGTTTTTGCTATTGTTGTTATTGTTTCTTCCCCAATGACATTATGTAATTTAGAATTTGCTCTATTGACTTTTGATTCGGGGCGTTGAATGTTGAATTAGGAGCAGCATGTCTCGTGGTTGAAAGTGTGTTTTTGCCGAAATTGTGTAAACAACATTGTATGATACCTATAGGAATGTGTGGGTGAAAATAGGTGTTTAAGTGTTCGTGTGTGTGCGCGCGTGTTTGTGTTGTAATGTATTTTGGCCATTACATGTTTGTCTGTCTCTGTTTGATCCTTTGGGAGTTGAATTTCATTGAATGTCTGTTTACCTTACCCATTTATTTGTTCAGGTGTTGTCCACCTGGCCCAAAGGATGTCCTTTTGACATTTGTCAACGGCGGATGTGTTAATTGAGAAATTTATTTGGGTAATTTCTCAGAGCCGTAAGTTGAGTGAGGGGCTGTTTAGTCTGGATAATGGCCATAAAAATAGTAAGGACGTAAGGATTTACGCAGAGATTGTCAAATAGAAATCGTCAAGTAATTACATTTTGAAGAGGATAAGTGAAGGAATTGTGAAAGAATTTTCAACTAATTGTTTTGTATGGGAATAAGGTTATAAGTCTCCTATGGATATCAAACCTTTTATATCCTGTGTTCTTTAAATATATATTCCTTGTATAGAAAACCATAAAAATATGTCTCTCATAGAAGTTGTTTCCTCCATTTGTAGGAGTCTAATTTACAGATCATTTTAAATGGAATAAAGTTTACAAGTCTAATATATAAAAGGCGTATTTTTGGCCTGCTATGGGACCATTAATTAATCGTACTTTCATAAATATACAAGACCTTTCATAGAGCTTATATAAACTGACGTCCTGTTTATATATCTTCCAATTGCAGAGTTACTACTAAATAGCTCACATAAATATAAGACCTTTGATAGGTATACCTTCTTAATGTACCTCATGATTTTTTTATGGCTAAAAGAAGGTCTGAAGGTATTTTATAGATAGAAAGCCTGTAGTAGACTTTCTATAGGTTTTTATACCCTCCACCATGGTATGTTTGTAACGTTTGTAACTCCTCGAAATACTCATGTCAGACCCAACAAACTCTATATATTCTTGATCAGCATAAAATTCTATGTCGATTTTGCGATATCCGTACGTCTGTGGAAAGCACTCTAGCTTCCGAACGAAATGAAGTAGATTGATAAATCGTTACTCAAATTTATAGTATATCTGCAGGACTTTTGGTATTGGAAATGGGCCATATATATCCAGGTTTTAGTATAACCCCCATATAACGGTACCTCCCGATATTCGGTACTTTGACGATTTTAGCGACATTATTCACCGGAATTGTTTCAAATTTGTTTTTTGAAGTTCGTAATGGAGGTCCACATCTTCGTATATCCCACTTATAACGGTATTTCCCGATATTCGGTACTTTAAATTTTTATTTTATACCGATTTTTATACCCTACACCACAAGGTGGTCAGGGTATTATATCTTTGTGCATTTGTTTGTAACAGGCAAAAGGAAACGAGATAGACCAATAGTTCCTTTTGATGATCTGCATACAATCATATTCTGAGTCGATTTATGCATGTCCGTCTGTCCGTCCGTCTGTCCATGTATTTTTGTAAACAAAGTACAGTTCGCAATTATTGCCCTATCCAGATGAAATTTTGCACAAATCATTTGTTTGGCCCAAGGAATTGGCCCTATTGAAATTGGAGATAATCGGTCAAAATTTAGATATAGCTCCCATATATATCTTCGTCCGATTTGCCATTTATTGTGCACCACACGGTAATATCAGCCCGAATAGTATGGAATTTTGCACATACAACAAAATTAGGCCTGAAAATAAGTATGGCAAATTGGATCGAAATCGGTTCAGATATAGCTATAGCTCCCATATATATTGTTCATCCGATTTGTTATTTTTGTCCTTCACAGCCGTAATATGCACTCTGTAACAACAATATTTGGGGAAATATATCAAATGCAGCTCAGAAATACCGTTGCTAAATTTTATCGAGATCGGTTCAGATTTGGATATAGCTCCCATATATAACTTCGTCCGATTTACCTTTTATTGTACACCAAACGTCTAATATTTGCCCAAATGGGATGAAATTCGGCACTTATGACCGAATTGAGTCTAGAAGCTAGTATGTCAAATTTGGTGAAAATCGGTTCATATATAGCTATAGATCCCATATATATTGATCATCCGTATTACAGAAAATTGTCTGTGCAGGTCAACGTCTTCGTATAGCCCCGTATAACAGTATCTCCCGATATTCGGTACTTTGAATTTTCACCGAATTTTTTAAGTTTCGCATTTCGCACGTCGTCGTATTGACCCTAATATAAGGGCTACATTCGGTATTTTTAAGATTTTTATAGATTTTTTAACGAATTTTATTTATTTATTTATTTATTTATTTATTTATTTATTTTTTTTTTTTTTTGAAAATTGCCAAATTTCGTTCCAAATGGTGGAGGGCGCTCAAAGTTCGGCCCAGCCGAACACACAGCTTTTTTACTTGTTTCATTGTAGTAAAGTTTATAAGTAGTTCCAAGATTCCTGTAATATAGGCGACTCCTTCTTTTTTAAGCCAAATCTATTGGAAACCAATAAATAATGACTAGATTTGGCCGAGGGCGATCATTTGATACCCTATAGCAATTAATTAGCATTAAAGTTTTTATATGTCTGATACAGGTTGATAAGAATGAACGAATTTTTCATGATATTGGATACATAATAGGACTTATTAAGGTCTGACCAAACCCATTTCAACGAACCCATATGTAAACTCTGGAAATCTGCAGTGACCTCAATATTAAATTACAGAACTTCAGATCCCTTCACCCAAAACCTAATTTAGAACTATATAGTATTTTCGTACAATTTTAGAACACATTTGAATTCCACCTCCACATCTCAACACCAGATACCAATAGAGACCTCAATATCAAATTTAGAGATTCCACCTCTATCCCTTCACCCAATACTCAATCTAGCACCACTTTATATTCATATCTCAAAAAATCCACATCTCTCAAACACAGACATCAACAATGATCCCAATTTAGACACATTTCAAAAACCACCTTCACATATCTACCATACTTTCGAACCTCGATTCCCCTACCAAATTTCAGAAGTTTAGTAACATTTTCGAACTTTTCGTAAACTTAAAGCTGGAATTTCCAATAACCCTTTGTTGCATATATCCTGCACTCCATCAGTGACTCTCATTCCAAATTTCAGAATTCTAGCTCCATTGGTTCATTATAATTCTAATGTCTACCAAATTTAGTACCTTTTCGTACACAAAAACACGAATTCCTAAAACTGCCTACATACCCTACACTCCCACGGTAATCCTTAGAAACTTAGATCGAGTTCGAAGATGGTTAATATCGGTCCTCTCTTTCTGGCAAAAGGTCGCAATTTTCAAACAAAATATTTTAGAAAATATATATTAAAATCCTGATACTTGCATCAGTTCTAAGTCTGGTGCGAAAATGGACTATATCGGTCCAAATGAAGTACCTCCCCCACAAAGGGTCAAAATTTTGGATAGTTATAACTCTTATAAAATGCGATGTAACAGTCCGATTGTTTTCAAATTACACACATCACAATACTTTTATTACTTCAAGGTCTGGTATAAAGATGGAATATATCGGTCCCCTCCTTCTGGTATCTCCCCCACAAAAGGTCAAAATTTTAAATATCCATGAAGCTCATAAATTAACGAAATTAATATCTGATTCCTTTCAGACTTGGCACGTCTCAAAATTTCAATCAACACAAGATCTGTTATAAAGATGGTAGAGATAGGACCACCCCTTCTGGTACCACAAGTGGGCCAACGTTTCGAATAACCAAAACGATTATTAAATCCTAAATAAGCATCGGGTTCTCTTCATATTTCACACATCCCACCATATTTATTCTACTAACACAAGATCTGATGTGAAGATGTGATATATCCGGGCACTGCTTCTGGCACCTCCCCCACAAAAATCCTTGAAGCTTATAAAACGCGTAATTAACATCCGATTCCATCCAGACTTGGCATATCTCAATATTTCTATCAACACAAGGTCTGTTATAAAGGTGGTAGAGATCGGACCATTTCTTCTGGTATCTCCCACACAAAGAGTCAAAATTTTGAATAACCAAAACGATCATAAAATCCGAAATAAGCAACATATTCTCTTCATATTTCACTCATGCCATTATTTCCACTTACAAAAGATCTATTGTGACGATGGGATATATAGGTCCGCACCTTCTGGTACCTCTCCCACAAAGCTGACATTTTTGAATATCCATGAAGCTCAAAACAACGAAATTAACATCCGATTCCATTCAAGACTTGGTATAACTCAATATTTCCGTCAACACAAGATCTGTTATAAAAATGTTAAAGATCGGAACATTTCTTCTCGTACCTTCCCAACAAATAGTCAAAATTTTCAATAACCAAAACGGTCATAAAATCGGGAAAAAATATCCGGTTCCCAACAAATTTCACACACAAATTTCAAAAGGGGATGTATTGGCGCACTCCGGTTTTGGAAAACAAAACGCCCATAAAAAGCGAAATAACCATACAACTCTCTTCAAATTTCACACATCCAAACATTTCACAATTCCAGAGGTTCACAATTTTTATAATACATTTATCGGTCATAACTTGCGGAACAAGTCGGCGATTCTATACAATATTGTGCAATTTGATAAATTAAATATTCATATCATTTATCTGGCTAAGGAAAATATTTAGATTTAGCAAAATATATCTAAATATTTCCCTTGGCCAGAAATATGATATAAATATGTAATAATCAAATTGGACAATATTGGTCAAGTGCTTCGGAAGCTCCCCCATAAATGGTCAATAGTTAGAAAAATTATAACTCAAGGCAGGGGGGGGGGGGTATACATCTCTCAGCAAAACTGACATATACTATTTAACGTGTTATGACTCAAATTGAATCGTTGTTAGTCGTTTTCAATAGCTCCTGCAAACCATTATCTTCTATATCAACCAGCAAACACCAGTTTCACTTTAAACGTGGCTCTAATGCATTAATTTTTTACCTAAACTTTAAAATTCCCACAAAATGTTATGGATGTCTGAAAAAAAATCCTAAAGTCTTTAAGAATTCCCATTTGAATTAATTTCTACTCTCCGAGCAATTTGACATTTATACAGTTTCCAGCTTTGCCAAGTATTCACATTATTATCAATTTCTGAAAAAAAAAACCAAAACAAAACTTTAAGTCTTTAAAAATGATTTGGACGAACTTGTGGCTTATGTTCCCAAATGGGAAGAAACGCAACAAAAACAACAACAACCGTAAAACTCAACCCCTCCTCATAAGAAGATACACTAACACACTCATGCAATAACTTTACGCTTTATGGTTTTCCTTTTTCTTTTATTTGTTTTCTTCTTCTTCACCTTTCGTTTTATGGCAACACTTGTGACCTGCCTCAAACAAAAAACAACAACAAAAACAAAACTGAATCCAAGGTGGAAGTCTGTCGTTCCCAGCACACCCAGACATGGCTGGGTGCCCTCTACAGCTACAAAGGTCTGCTGCTGGTCGTGGGCGTCTACATGGCCTGGGAGACGCGGCATGTGAAAATCCCCGCTCTCAACGATTCGCAGTACATTGGAGTGTCGGTGTATAGTGTCGTCATAACCAGTGGCATTGTTGTGGTCCTGGCCAATCTCATCTCGGAACGTGTTACATTGGCTTTTATAACGATAACGGCATTAATATTAACCTCAACGACGGCCACTTTGTGTTTGCTTTTCATACCCAAGCTGCATGATATATGGGCCAGAAGTAAGTTCAGTAGATCTAGGAAATGCAAGAAAAAAATAAAAAATGAAAAAAATGCAAGAAATAAACGAAAGTATTAGCTGCTCAAGTAGACGAAGAAGAAAGTGCAATAAGCAGGCATAGACATGTTTAAGTTGTTTATAATTTGTTAAAAATTTAATGTAATACCCAGTCTTGCTTAGGCTTTCGCAATTGTCAGACGTGCAAACTAACTATCGCTCTCTAGAAGTTGCTTACTCGTTAATAAAAAAATTCCAAAACGAAATCTGTCCCATTGCTTGGATGATGAAGTCGGCATGTCTTCATGTAAAATTCCTAAAACTGGGACCAGACGAAACCGGTGGACTCCCTTACAACTCTTAGACAATGATGATGACAATTCAATAACTGACATGGACAGTGAACAGCCCCAAAGCGGCCAAAATAATAAAATTTCACCCATTAAAGTTTTAACTAAAAACAGTGATATTATTATCAACTTGCTTAATGATAGAAAGATTGATGATTTCTTAGTTAAAAAATATCAATTGGTTTAAAAATTTTGTGTAATACAATAACAACATATAACAAAGTGATTGCGGTTTTGCAGGAAAAAAACTATCAATACTTCACACATGATCACAAAAACAACAAACCATTTAAAGTTGTCATTCACAGACTAGATAATAAAACAAGCACAGAAGTTAAAAATGAGTTAATCTCTCTCGGACTAAAGTGCATTGACGTTAAAGAAGTGAAACGTACTTATGAAAAATATGTTGATACTCTTTACATTGTCCACCTTGAAAGAGGCAGTGTGAAACTACATGAATTGAGAAAAAATATTCGATCTCTTTTCAAAATTATTATTACATGGGACTACCAAAGGCGTATTAAAAACAAAACGGTTCAATGTCGAAAATGTCAAATGCATGGACATGGAGAGAAAGGTTGTCATGTTGCCATTCTATGTTCGAACTGTGCTGGAAATCACCTCACTTCTGAGTGTCAAACACCAAATAAAATCAAGTGTGCCAATTGCGGTAAAAATCATAAGTCCACTGATGCTTCATGCCCAAACAGAATTATGTACCTAGAAATGAAACAGAAACTAACTTTAAAAACTCACCACAGTAAGAGAAAGAGCATTGAGTTCAACACTAACAATGAGAACTTTCCGCCACTATGCAAGTCTGCTAATAAACCTGTTGTTGTAAACAACTGGAAACATGTCAACAACAGTGATGCCTCTTCACATAATCAATTTCCCGTTGCGGCTGGCAGTACTCTATTCTCTGAGCAAGAATTTTTGCAATTGACATCTGAAATGATCTCCAAACTTGGTTCCTGCACTACCAGAGAACAACAATTTAATGTAGTAGCTGAACTAGCCTTTAAATTTGTTTACAATAATAGTCATAAATGAATTATTCTAACTTAAATATAATATTTTGAAACTCTAGAAGTATCCGAAACAAAATCGTTGAATTAACACATTTTATAGTTTCTAACCATGTTGATATTTGTTGTTTATCAGAGACTTGGTTGAATGAGAGTGACGGTTTCAATATTCCCAACTACAAATATGTTAGAAAAGACAGAGTTGGGCAAACTGGCGGAGGTGTGGCCATAATCATTAAAAATAATATTGAGTATAAAATTGTCCAAAGTATACCAACCCAAATAATTGAAAACACAGGAATAGAATTAAAGCTAAATGATTCTCAATCGATTAAGTTGTATAGCATATACTTTCCTGGAGGTGTGAATAGTAGTACACTCCGCAGCTTATTTAAATCCGATTTACGTAAAATCTTAAACACCGACGGTAATTATATTTTCTGTGGCGATTTGAATTCTAGACACCGTAATTGGAATTGCCTTCGTTCAAATACCTGGGGTAATATTCTTAATGATTTAAATCCACTTTACCCTTTTACCATTTTATTTCCGAATTGTCCAACCTATATCCCTGCTTCCTCAACGTGTAATCCATCAACTCTAGATTTAATTCTAACTAACATTCCTCTTCTTTTAACAAATCCTCACGTCATTAATGATCTCTCATCCGATCACCTTCCCGTTCAATTTAAACTTTCTGGTAATCCCTCCCGGTCTTGCACTTACAAGTTCAATTTTTCTTCTGCCGATTGGAGTGCATATAAGCAGTTTGTTAATTTGAAGTTTCAACACACTAACTTACAGTTTGATATACCTGCAGACATCGATGATCACGTTGACTTCTTCACAAGCACATTGTTAGAGGCAGTTAGACGATCTGTTCCTCTTTTTTCTCTCAAAACCAAGTACTGTAAACTTCCTAATTATATTCTTAACCTTATAAAAATAAAAAATAAGTTTCGCAGAGACTGGATTCGGTATCGCCAAATTGTTGATCACAATGCAATGACTAAGTATAGTTTGATTATCCGTAATGAAATACACAAATATAGAAATTTAGAATGGAATAAAATGTTGCAACATTTGGATAAAGGTTCGAAGCCGTTTTGGAATGTATCCAAAATGTTAAGGAAGAAGTCTCGTTGTTGTCATAGTTTAATTTCTGGAGACCAAGTCTTAATAACAGATATTGACAAAGCCAATGCTTTTGCTAAGACGTTTAGTGAAAATCACACAATATCTGACAATATTGGTATACCACAACACATTGAGAATGTAAATGAAACTGTTGAAATGTTAGGAAATATGGATATTGTTACTCCTAGTTCCGAATTTATTACAACTAGTGAAGTTGAATACATTATACGTAACCTTCAAAAAAGAAAAGCTTGTGGTTTGGACGAAGTCAATAATGAAATGCTAAAACATTTAACCGGGAACGCATTAGCATATCTAAGTAATATATTTAACGCATGCCTTAGATTTCAATATTTTCCAATTACTTGGAAAACTGCAAAAGTCATCCCAATTGCTAAACCAGGTAAACCTAATAATAAACCTGAAAATTATAGACCTATTAGCCTACTAAGCACGCTTGGAAAAATATTGGAGAAGATTATTAAAAAAAGATTTCAGAATTTGTCCATGAAAATAAAATTCTCCCTAATGAACAATTTGGTTTCAGAGACGGGCACTCTACAATACATCAAGTGAAACGTTTATGCAATGACATTCGTATTGGCTTAAATGGTGGGCTGTCTACAGCTTTAGTTTTATTCGACATAGAGAAAGCGTTCGATACAGTATGGCATCGAGGCTTAGTCTATAAACTTATGATTTTTCATTTTCCATCTTACCTCATAAAAATTATTGAACAATTCCTAAGCGGTCGACATTTTTGTGTTTCAGTTAACAATTCTTTTCAGACTTAATGCCTATTCATGCTGGAGTACCGCAGGGATCCGTTTTGGGACCAATACTATACAATTTATATTGTTCAGATATGCCGTCTCTTAGTCCATGTAAATTCGCTTTATATGCCGATGATATTGGAATCTATTATACCGGTCTACTAAGTCATAATATATTAAGCAATGTGCAACATTCAATTGATATATTATGTGACTATTACTTAAAATGGAGAATTAAATTGAATTATACCAAAACACAGTCAATATTTTTCACAAAAAGAAGAAAATCTTGTTTCGTACCCAACAATAACCTTGTTTTAGGAAACGACAATATAACATGGTTAGACAATGTAAAATACCTTGGCATTTGGCTCGATAAAAAACTAACTTTTAAATATCATATAGATCATGTTTTAAATAGGGTTAATATGTACAAACAAATTCTCTATCCATTAATTAATAGGAATTCATTGCTAAGTAATGATAATAAAATCTTAATCTTTAAGGTAATTTTTCAATCCATCATCCTCTATGGTTGCCCAATATGGGGACATTGTGTAAAGTCACATATTAAACGATTGCAAATTGCACAGAATAAAATTCTTAAGATGGCATTAAAACTACCTTGGGATTTCCCGACGGATTGGCTTTACTCTATAAGTAGTGTAAATACGGTTCTATGTTGCATTGAGCAACATATTAGTAGATTCAAAGCCAATTGCTTATTTTCTGAAAATCCTCTGATTTTAGGTATTTACCTAGATAACTAAAATTACATTTATTTGTGTAGATATTATTTTTGTATAGAAGGTTTTTGCTTATAGTTTTCCTCCAGACACTTTATGATTTATTACTATGTAAATGAATTATTTAAATGTTTTATTATATAATGCTTTAGATATAAGGCCTTGCCACATCTGTGCAATGATTTATAGAAACTAAGATGAATTGTAAATATTAACTATTTTTAATAAAGAAAGAAAGAAAGAAAGAAAGAATTAATGTAATACCTAACTGAGCTTCTCCTTTTCTTCATTCTTTCTTTATTATTTTTTTTATTTCCATTTATTCTTGTTGTTGTTGATCCCACACAAGCAGATGATGTTGTTGATCCGGTAATCTCAAGTATGGGCTTAAAAATGGAATGCAATACACGTCGTTTTGTTCTGGATGATCGCCGTGAGTTGCAGTATCGTGTGGAGGTGCAGAATCGTGTGTACAAAAAAGAAATCGCAAGTTTGGATGCTGAAATCCGTAAGCTGGAGAGAATGTTGGAATCGGGGACGGCTTCAACGACCACTTCATCATCGGCCTCTATATTTGCTGCACTGAAGGTAAGGAAATACTTTTTCTAAAAAAAAGGTTATATATTTTGACAAAATACACCTGGCCCAAATAACCTATTACAAGGTAATGTTAATAAACAACCTTTTCACCTGTTTGCCAAATAATGATTGTCGTGAGTTTTAGATGCAGATAAAAAGAATTAAAGCAAACCTTAATATGTCCTTATAAAAATGAAACAAGTTCAAAGTATCTCTCGGTTTAGCCGACAGATGTATTCTCTCAGCTAATGTTCGAGTATTAAAATATATTTTGACTTGTGTCATGATTGTTCAAATTGTTGACCTTCTATGCAGTGGGTTCTGAAGTAATGGGCTAATATTGTTCATTTTGTATTCAAAATTTTGACCTTTTGTGGGAGAGTTACCAGAAGGACTGTACCGAGATATTCCATCTTGACACCAGAACTTGGGTTGATAAAAATATTGGGATGTGTGAAATTTGAAGACAAACCTACTGTTACATCACATTTTATAAAGGTTATAAGTATTCAAAATTGTTAGGCTTTGTGGGGGAGACACTTGACGGAGTGGACCGACATTATCCATTTTTGCACCTGACCTAGAACTGACACAAAATCAGGATTTGCGAAGTTGGAGCAAAATCGGATTATTGCTACTCTTTCTGTGCAGAAAATATTTTTTGTTTTTTTTTTTAATTTCGACCTTTTGCGGGGGAGTAACCAGGAGGAGTGGACCGATGTATTCCATATTGGTACCAGACCTTGTGTTAATAAAAATATTGGAATGTGTGACGACAATCGGACTCTTACATCAAATTTTATAAGAGGTGTAATTATTCAAAATTTTGACCGTTTGTGGGGAGGTACTTAATGGAGTGGACCGATATTGTCCATTTTCGCAAAAATCAGAATCGGATTATACTTTCTCTTTCTGTGCAGAAAATATATATTTTTTTAAAATTTCGACCTTTTGTGGGGGAGGTACCAGAAGGACCGGTCCGGTGTATTCCTTCTTTATTCCAGACCTTGGGTTGATAAAAATATTGGGATGTGTGAAATTTGAAGGCAATCGGACCCTCACATCAAAATTTATAAATTTTTTATAACTTGATGGAGTGGGCCGATATTGTTTATGTTCGCACCTGACCTGCCATTGATGCAAATATTAGGATATGCAAAGTTGGAGCAACATCTGATTATCGTTTATCTTTCTGTGCAGTAAATTATTTTCTTTGAACATATTGACATTTTGTGGGCGAGGTACCAGAAGGAATTATCCGATATTGCACATCTCCGAACTCTATCTAAGTTTGACAAAAATATTACGATGTACCAAATTTGGATCAAATCGGATACTCCGTTCGAGAGTTATCGTGCACACCAGCCAGCCAGCCATCCAGACAGACAGACAGACGGAGGGACGGATATCGCTAGATCGACTCCAAATGTCCTGAAACGGATTTGGCCCGAAAAGACCTTAGGTTTAAAACCGTTATTTCGATGAGGCACGTTTTGGCCGTATCATATGATATATGCTCTCTTTAGCTGAGGATATAAGATTAAGAATCCAATGGTGTCGGTGCCAAAAAGAACGCACTCGACGCCTTCCATTGTGAACTTAATGATGAGAAGTGTTCTTATACTGTTTTATATCTTTCCTTTACTATTTTTTCTGGAAAAGGAAAAAATGTTAGGTACGCATTTTCAAAACAATCTTAAACTCAAGCAGCAAAAGAGACCTGATTATATCAAATTGCAGAATCTCAGCTCCGAAATTTCCCCCAAATCCTAATTGTTCCAAATTAAGTACTATTTAGTACACATAAGTGCGATTTTCCATACCACAATCCTACACTCCTATATTAACCCCGAATCCAAATCCCTTTCGTTTCACCTAAGTACAAGTTGTGCAAAATTTAGTACCATATAGTACAGATAAGTACGAATTTCCAAAACTTCCCACATAAACCAATCCTACACTCCAACAGTAATCTTAATTCCAAATTTAAGGATTCCAGCTCTATCGGATCACCTAAATCCAATTTATACATGTATAAATAAATTTCAAAAAACGAAACCCTGACAGTAATCGTTTTTATAATTTTCAGGATACCAGCTGCTCTGGTTCACCCAAATCCAAATTGTACAAAATTTTGTACCGTTTAGTGCGCTTAAGTACAATTTTTCATAGATACCTTCATCATACAGTACAATAGAAATCTTATTTCCCAATTTCAGGATTTCAACTCTACCGGTTCACCCAAATTTTAAATTGTACCAAATTTAGTACATATAAGTACGAATTTCCAAAACTACCTACCTTCCTCAGCCTAGAATGCAATGATAATTTCTATATTTAAGATTTCCAGCTCTTTCGGTTCACCCAAATCGAAATTGTATCCAATTTCGTACCATTTAGTACTTTTCGTGCACATAAGTAAACATTTCGAAAACTTCCTCCATATCCCAACAATACACTCCGCCAGTAATGTTAAGTTCAAATTTCAGGATTCCATCTCTGTCGTTTTCTCCAAACTCAAATTGAACTAAATTTAGTACAGTTAAGTACTTTTCGTATACATGAGAAAACAATTCCAAATCTACCTCCTTACATCGACTCTACCCGAAATCGACTCTACTACGAAATAGTAGGGAATGTAGTACATTTTGAGTACATTTCGTATACTTAGAGTGCGAATTTCCAAAAACCCTTTTATACATCTATCATACACTCCATCAAATTTACGATTTCTAGCTCTACTGCTTCCTCAGATACCATATTTAGTTCCTTTTAATAGTTTTCGGACCATTCTAATACGAATTTCCAAAAACCCTTATCTGACCCCTTCGGACCCTCACGAAAAATTTCAAGATTCTAGCTCCAGATGTTTCGTCTGGACATTGATGAATCGTTAAGTCAGTCAGTCAATCGACTTTACTCTTTTAGAGAAATCAACATTCACTCCATCCATCAAATCCAATTCTTATTTATATTCCCATGAAAGGTCTATATCCCAAATACATACATTTTTTAGAAGAAGGTCGAATTTTCGAAATAATCCCGCACTATCGTTCCGCTTAAAACAATTGCAAGGCTTAGAACCTTTAGCACCTTTTTAATAGCTTTAGTATTTCATACTGTAGGCCAACTTACTACATTGGAGCATTAGTAGTTATAGTAGAGAATTTAGTACCCTCTGGTACAATTCGGTACCCTCCTAGCCCAATTTTCCACCATTTGCGACATATTTTACCATTACACATTAATGCAATTTAGTATTTCGAGTACTACGAGACAATATTTAGTACCTTTTAGTACCACATTTTTGATTTGATATTTCAAATTCCTATTTACTCAAATTTTACTTCCCCTTCTCCCTCTTTTTTTACAGCCCGAGGTGACGATAACCAGCGACACATCATCCCACCTGCCGCCACCGAGTCATGGCGGCAAATCGCGTACACCCAGCATATCAGGTATTTTACCAAACCTATTACTCTCCGTACTGCCGCCTGTTATACCGCGAGCCAGTTGGCCATCAGCTGAGTACATGCAAATACCGATGCGTAAATCGGTGACATTTGCCTCACAACCCCACCTCGAGGATCGTACCATAGCTGGGTCGTGTCTACCGGCACAGGATCTGCTCAATTTACGATTGGCCCATCAGCATGCCACCGAAACGAAAACGGGTATCATAAATCGTATACGAGGCATATTCACCCGAACTCAGTCGAGTAACAAGGGCTCAATCGCCAGTTTGGCAGATCAGAAAGGTATTAAGGCGGCCCTAATGACCCATGTGGGTCTCTTCTCAAGACTCATACCATCATCGCAGACCGCATCGTGTAATGCCATCTATGCGGAACGTAAAAAATCGGACATAGATTTAGTCCATACGGCGGGTGAAAATCTCAAGCCCCTCAAACGAAAATCGATAGCAAAAAGTGGTACCCATTTGGATGTAACCTTTGCCGATCCCACATTTTTACCCATACCCAGCATATCAGCTGAAACTGTAGATATTTCTCATGCGCCACAATCATCGTCATCTGTCGCCATCACCACCACCCAACAACTGTTCTCTGTACCCATTATCGAAGTAGAAAATAAGTATATTTTGGAACCTGAAACTAAAGTTAACTTTCAATTGCCCGCCAATCGAAGGCCTTCCATAGCCCAACTGCAGCCCACATTGAGGGAGCGTGTCAAGGGCTCGCCACGTTTTCCCCATCGTGTTCTACCCATAACAAGTAGTTTGGGGGCACTCGAAGAAACGGGAGACAGTCAGAGACCGAAACCTGGAGGACGCATGAATTTAAAACGTGCCTCCATTGTTGGCAATTGGAAATCTATGGAAGTCCCCTCTAGCACCCGCTTTGCATCGTTGACTGATTCCAGAGATGATGTCTGGAAACAGGACTGTATAACGGTTGAAATTAATCAAAAGGATAAGGAGGATATAATAACGGTGGAAATTACCCATGTCAGTGATGATGATTGAGTTTGATATTCGAGGTAATTGTTGTTGAATGGAGGGTAGACTATATACTATATATATTTTGGTGTAATTCTCTGTATGTTTTTAGATATTCTTTTTGAAAATAATGTGTGTATCCTGAGGGTATATATTCCATTTTTTCAGTACTTTCACCTTAGGTTTTTATAGTGCACACTTGCTTTCTCGCCTTATTTTGATAGCAACACATCCCACCTTGTAGATACAAGTTAGATGGTTTAAAAAAAAGAGGATTTAATTTTTCTCCGTTCTTCAACCTCTTAAAGGATTCTGGGAGCCTTAAATGGAGATTTTCAAAATTGATTTGAACTCAACGACATTTTTCTGATCAATATTCTTTTCGAATGATCTCTTTTCGACTTCAAGAAAAAATCATAGAAACATCAGGCGATTTTGTGTAACCTAAATTAAGAACTGACTTTCAAAGAAATAAAAAATATTGATAGAATGAATATATATCTTATTGTAAGGGACACAAAGTACTTACAGGGTGAGATAAAAAAACTGCAACAAAGTCAAACGCCATAATTTTTACTTTTTCTTTAATTTTATTGAATGAAAGCAAAAAATGTCGGAAATAGCATCAAATTTTAGAATAAGTTTAGATTTGTTCGAATTGGTCATCTTTGGCACGAATTATGGCCTTCAAGCGGCCAATGAAACCGCCACACTCTGCCCGAATGTTGCTCTGCGTTATTTTGGCCCATTTCCAACGAAGCGCTTGCTTTTGCTTTCGTACACTTGTAAACAATATAAAGAGCTTTCACTGGAATAATTTTAACAGCTGTCGAGTGGCTTAAAAATGACAGCAATCTGAAATTGGTTGAAGTTTTTTTCATCTCACCCTGTAGTAGATGATTTGTTGTCTTCTCATACAAAACTTGAGGCTTTCCCGTAACAAAGCTGAGCCTTCTTACGCATGACTGGACATTTTCAAAAAGAACACTTGAAGTCTTCTTTTTGAAGGCTTCGAGTTTTTTTCCCAGAAGAATTTAAGCTTTCTCTTGAAAAATTTGAAGTCTTTTATTTCAAAATGTAAAGTTTTCGAATGAAAGCTCGATGACTTGGTGTACTCCCATAAAAGACTTAAAGATTTCTCATAGAAGACTTTCTAAAAAAAGACTTCAAGTCTTTTTATAGAAGGTATGGTTTTTTATTTTCATAGACGACATAGAGTCCTCCCAAGAATAGTCCTCAAATAGAAGATTTTTTATATTCTCAAAGTCTTCTATTATAAAAGGCTAGAATTTATCACAAGAAGACTCTCATAGAATACTTGATTTATCCTCATAGAAGTCTTGAAATCTTCTCATAGAAGACATGAAGTCTCCTGATAGAAGACTTGAAAAAAACTTAAAGTTCTCATAGAAGACTTGAGTTCATTTTACAGAAGGCTTGAGCTCTTCTAAAAGACAACTTGAAGTTTTATCAAAGAATTTTTTTTTCAAATGGAGGACTTGGGGTCCTTTAATTGAAGACTTGTAATCTTCTCATAAAGGACTCGAAGTCTTTTCATAGAATACTTGAAGTCATGTCATAGAAGACATGAGGTCTTCTCATAGAAGACTTGAGGTCTTCTTATAAAAGACTTGAGGTCTTCTTATAGGAGACTAGAAGTCTCCTCTCAGAAGCCATGAATTCTTCTAATGGCAACCTAAAGACTTTCCATAGATGTTTCGAAGTCCTTCCCCTTAGATTTGTTCTTTATCCCCTCGTACTATTATTATTATTATTTAAAATATTGAAAGTCTGTTTACAGAATTTTCCCACGGAAATATAAACTAGAATTGTAGACGACAATTATTTTTATAAAACACAGGTTCTCTTGACAACACGTTAATAAAGAACTGGAAGTATTTTTCATAAAAAAATTACTCGATTTTCCATTTCAAACATTAGCTGCCAATTTCTTGGGAATATAATATATTAACTTCCCAAAAGATTGTCTTTGAAATTAACTTTCGATCTTCTCTTGGAGAAATTATGCCCACAAATCATTTCTACTCAGAGGCCAAACTATATATTAAAAAAAAAAAAAAAAATTATTTAGGTAGCAAAAAATATAAGTTTAGGTTGAAAGAACAATTCGAAAAATTTTGGAAATTACCAGACTCGCTGTTATATTGTATTATATCCAATGTCAACACATTCAAAACTAGAAAGGTTTTATGAAATCTTTTTAAACATTTCTTATTTGCTTAGGTTCTATGACATCATTTGAAAAGAGGAAGACTTTCCACATGGAGTGAAAAATATAAATTCTCAAAAATGTAAATATGTAGGAACTTTAGTTAAAAATTTTATTTAATGTATAAATGACAATGCCGGAGGATTATAAAGCCTGAGCATATAAGAGGATTTTTTCTGACATAACATTACTATGACCTACATCAAATTCGGACCATGATTTTAATAACTGATTTTCTCTCCCACGTCAGAAAAATGGTATTTTATTTCAATCTTTGTTAAATTGAATCTACCATTTTTTTTAAAAAAATTGCTGGTTTAGAAATATATTCCAAAATTGTCATAGGAATATTCCTGGGCTTAAACAGTACAAAATGTTAATATATATTGCATTTCCAGTATCCCCGCACTTCCCGTATTCCCACCCGCTGCATTAGGAAAATTAAAAAAATAAAATCAAAATTTCCATATAAAAATATAAATTTCTGGAAATAAATGTAACGGTTGAATGTAGTTTTTGTTCACCCGTAAATTCTCCTCCTTCTGAATGTAGTGTAGACTCGCTTAAGTAATTCCTTCAATGCCTACCGTTTTACAATTTTTTTATTTAATCATTTTTTTAATCTAACACCCCCTACCACTTAGTGGTCGAGGTTATATGGAAGAAACTTTATATGGGTACCAACTAGAACTGTATAACTTAAGATTTCATTTCATACCTAGTTAATGTTTTATAAAATTTTATTTACTATTAGTAATGAGAAGAAAACAAAAAAAAAACCAAAGATAGAAAACACAACTGACCAATACAACTTTTATATTAAGGCTCTAAGCTAACATTTTTTATAGACTATAAGCCAAAACATTTCATTTACCTAGTAAGTAGCCATTAAATTGAAAAAAAAATAATTTTAATTAGCTGTAAGTAGTAAAATTAGATTCTTAAGCAATCAAAGAAATCTAAGAAGCGATAAAAGTCAATCATACAAGTAGTGAAACTCCTATTCGTAATAGCATTCCAAAACCAAAAATGAAAAAAATGTAATAAGAAATGCCAAACTGAAAACATGAACTTTTTCTTCAACCACCCCCACCTCCTCTAACAAGAAAACCAAAGAGCAATTATAAAAAAAGACAAAATCAAGTGTTATAAGCAATACCAAAACAATTTGTGAATGTAAAAAAAAATACAAAAAAAAAAAAAAAACAATTCTAATTTAGGAAAATAAAAATATATTAAAAAAAAAAACAGAAAATAATTTTAAGTTTTAAATGTGTCAAGGAGATGTCATTCATGTACCTTTTTCAATAACCAAAATAATAATAGAAAATTGAATAGCCAAAAATAAACTTTTTAAATATTTAAAGAAAACAAAATCAATTCTCTTTAATTTGAAGTGAATCATTTTCAGCTCTCCTCCCCTCATTTAACTTTCTTTTCTAATTTGTCCCATTTTTCATTTTTTTCATTTCCCCATCACATTCATTCCATCCCCAAAGATAGTACTAAAATAACTTTGCAATAAACAGTGAGAGGGAAAAAAAAAACTTTTTTGCTCCCATAAAACTGTCAAACAATGTTTTAATGTTTTTATTTGAAAACGATATTGGTGTCAAATCAGCAAATAATATCCACATCTCACCCACAGATATTATTTGATATCATATACACAATACACAAAGTAAGTAAGATAGTGGTGGTATATACTCAACACCATTTCAATGGCAGCAGTTCGAAGGAGTGTATTACGTACTTATACACATACTGGAAAGAATTCCCACAAGGAATATCCTTTTCAAAATTTAGTTCATGTACACAAAAAAAAGAAAAATTAGTGTGTATATTGAGAACAGCGGTATTCTGCTTATGTTATACTTGAACTTCATGGCAACAAATCAGTTTTAAATTTTAAAAGGATCCCCTATTTTGGGATAGAAAAATATAAAAATTTGGATTTAGGGGTGAAGATTGAAAATCGGTAAAAGAGTAGCAGTGATGTATACCGCCTCAACTACCATAGAAATCAATTAAAAGGTTAATTTTATTTTTGGGATTGCACAAATGATTAAATTGAAATACACAAATAAAAGGACTATTACGTAATAGTGTATATATTTTGAGAGGCGAATGTTCGGTTTTTCTAAATAACCATTTTGGACTCAATATCTATTTTTATCAATGAAATACAAATATTATGTATATCGGTCTTTTCTTACGGCCCAAATTATGATTCACAAACATAGCAGACGGATACCACCGCCAGCAAAAATTCTGATTACAAAACAATGAGTTTAATATGTACATTTTGGCACCAGTAATGACTTACTAAATAGCATCCTTACCCCTTATTTTCGCATGAGTATTTCATTGGTGGTGATTACAGCAAAAAAATAAGTGGTTTTTTTAAAACACGATTTTTGCATTTATGGTTTACTTTACCTCCACGCTTAATTTTGGTTTTGAACTGGCGATCTTCTGATTGGTAATCGGGCACACAATAGACTCAACCATTAAATACATTGTTATTTAATGACATATATGTTCATCGTCATCAAAATCTTCGTATTTCCCCATTGTTCTACAACACTACGTGTTGGCGGTATTATAAGTTTGATTGGGCCAACACCTCGAAATATTGGTCCCGAACATAGGAAACTATATGTGGATCTTCGTATCTCCGTCTGTCCATGTTAACTTGTAATCAAACTACAGGTCGCAATTATGGCCCGATTCTCACGAAATTGAAATCGGAGGTGGGGTCAGAATAGAAGCCTATTGTTTTTGGAGATAATATTTAGGGGTTGAAATTGATAAAAAAAAAATCCTGATTTTGCAGTTGCCCTACAGGCCACAATTATAAACACAACGACGTGAAATTTAGCATGAAGTTAGAGGTTAGGGCTCGGCAGAAGTCAACCAATTTGGATGGTCATCGAACAATGTTTAGCGGGTAAAATAGACCCTAATTTTTATGTAAGAAAATATGAAAATGTTCAATTGACAGCAAATATTTTTAATCCCG